TGAAAGGGAGCATTAGGTGAATGAAAAGTGGTCTAATTAAAAATAAACAAACAGCCTGTCTCAAAAGCACAAGAAAAAGCAGTTATGCCCTGGCCCTAACACTCAAAATAGACTGATAAATTAAAACGAGTTCACTCAGTCTTTTCACAAAGCTAAGTATACTACATGTACTTTTAAAAAAAAAAAATGCCTTTAGGAGGCAGGCTAAGAAAGGAGAGTGGTGTTGTTATGTGCTGTCGAGTCAGACCCGACTCGTAGCAACCCCCCCCTGGGTTTCCAAGGCGGTATCACTATGGAAGTACATTGCCCAACCTTCCTCCTAAGGAGCGGCTGAGGAGCGGCTGGTGGGTTTGAACCACCAACCTTCTGGTTAGTAGTCAGGTGGCTTAGGCACTACGCTACCAGAGCTCCCAGAAAGGAGAGTAGTATCTCTAATTAAATAAGAGAAAAATGGAAAGCTGGGGGGGGGGGAGTTTTCTGTGCGACTTTTCAAACAATTGCTAAGGTTAGAACCACAATAGAGAAGATCTTTAGCATGATGTGGCACTCCTCATGGATGAACGTAGGACTTTTATCAGTTATACATGCTTTAAAATAACCTACAAAGTATGTGGGTGCATGGCTGTTTGCAGAATATAATTCAGCATACTAAACAAATGACCTTTCAAAAATGAAATTCTTCAATTTGGTATGTATTTGTTTTATTATAGACTTATCTACAAATAAGTTTTAAAAAAGGGGGCTGCATGATACACATTTATATCATGCACAGACAGAAATAAAGGATCGAGGACTAAGAAAGAGAAAAAGTGTCTCACTTGAAAACAATTCTTTATAATCAAGAAGAAACACCAAAATGTGTATACTCTACCACAGATTCGATTAATATCAAAATATCAGTCTGGAAGCGTCTGAAGGCCCCTGTGCAGCACATTTATGCTTCCACACGACTTTGTGGTTATTACTTTAGAGGAAAGAAAGGAGCAATTTCCTCAGGAAAACAGTGTCTGCGATTCTAATGCTTCTGAGCCAGAACTTCATCCTTGTTCTCACTCGAAGGACAGCTTCTTCTCACACTGAAAGAAGGGCAAATACAAAAGTGACAATTTGGGTCAATATTACATAAGTCTAACGTTTGAGTTGCTATGTTTAGGCTTTTTATATTAAAAAGCAATCAGCTAATATAACTTCCTTGGAAAATGTCCTCAAAAATCAAATGGGCTCTGAGAGATGTAAAATATATTGCTTGACTTTCTTTCTTTCTTACTGGAGACAATTTTAAACAAGTTGGGTTCAGTAAAAAAAAAAAAAGAGTATTTTCCCTAAGCTTCTAGTCTAGTGTTCTAATCTGTTAAAGGACAATGAATGATCACTTGATAAACACCGTATATTAGTATTACTTCAAGTTGTTTAGTATTTTCAACTCTTTCCAAAATATTCTACAATATGCATAAACCAACGTTAATACAAAATATAACAAATAGACTATTTAAATATCTGTGGAATATTAAGTCTTGTCATGCAATTTGTCCACAGCTGAGAAAATCACTTTACGTAAATATAATTTTAAGCTAAATTCAGTAAGCCATTAGCTGTAACTGTTTTTCCCCAAAAAATGAATAAATCAAGATGTTTATTTTCTGTTTAAAATAGATCAGAAGAAAAGATTGCATTAATCATGCATTACTCATGTGCTTTTACGACTTTTGATAATTTACCAAAACATTAGCACATCCCACAGCTCACAACTCTATAGTTAGTGAGTATCCTGTTGTCTGCTTTCTCTGAAGGGGTGTGTTTGATTGTTGCTCCAGTGATTATCACTGTTTTATGAATAGAGGAGTGTAAAACCATGCCAATAAGGCCAAAGCACAAATTACAACCGTATTGTGGTGACTTGAAATAGCGTTAACTAGGGCTCCTTTTTGATGAAACTTGAGCTCATCTATGTCCCCATTCAGCAAATGCTGTACTGTGAGGTCTAAAAAGATGTTCTCTGGCAGGTTTTCAAGCTGATCTTTTTTACTCTGATAAACAGCATATGGGTAAGCCTTAACTTAAAGGAAACAAAAGGTTTATTTAATAGAATGAAACCAAAAAGGGGGGAAGGGGAGGTGTTGCTGAGTTCTTCTGTGGATAATAATAATAAAATTTAAAATCTAATTAATTTGATAAGAAAACCAGCAATTCGTTGTGATTAATTTCCATCGTCCTAAAATAACGTAAGTGTGTGGCAGTAAGTAAGAATACAAGTTAACAGAAGGTGAAATAACCGAATTGTTGCTAAATATTAAGGCATGAAAGTGACCCAACCATGCCTTTATGCCAAAAGGAGCGCATCAGAAAGGAGGGTAAGAGTTTTTTTTTCTGCTAAACATTTGTTTATATTGCAACTGGGAGAGGATAAAGGGATACTTCAGATTTTTATTTTTCTCTCGAGGCCCTGAATTCAAAATTAGGCCTTTGAATTAAATGTAAAAGAATGTGAGTAAATACTCAAAAACCAAACCAAACTCATTGCCTTGCAGTCTGACCGGACTCAAACCCAACCCCTCCTTGGGTTTCCGAGGCGGTATCACTACGCAAGTAGATTGCCCAACCTTCCTTAGAGGAGTGGCTGATGGGTTTGAACGGCCAGCCTTCTGGTTAGCAGTCAAATGCCTTGGGCACTACACTACCAGAGCTACTAGGGATAGGTAAATCATTTCATGGGGTGCAAGGTTAATGGTTAACCTGACAATGAGGTTGGAATCTCATTCAGTATGTTAAACTAGCACAATTAGGTGGTGCTAAATGTGTAACAATGCGGCATTACTGCAGAAGTGCATGAAGGGGCTCTCAGGAGCCTAAGGAGGTCAACCGGAGGCCCTGGCCTCCACTCGATGGGGAGGGCCAGTCAAGGGAATTTGTTCTGGCTAAAACTGGAGGGTTTCTGTCTGTTTGCTTTTTTTCTTACTTTGGTTACTCTTGGTTTGTTATCATTTGTATTATTTATTTTACGGTTAAACTATAAGCCTGAGTTGCATCACCAGCAGCTTGAGAGTCTCCTCCGCGGCTGGCTGGTGTTTCGTCCTTGGGCATCAGTGGCTCCCGGATGGTTTGTCGTAAAAGTAGAGACTGGGAACTCGAAGGGCGACGGGGCTGGGAATAGGGCGCTGGGGTCGTTCCTTCTGGAAACCCAAGGAAGGCCAGCAAGGCCTAGGTGACTCGGGCCCTGAGGCCTGGCCTCAACTGACTCTTGAACATTCTGTCAGAGGACAGAGAATAGGCCCGGCAACTTCACCGGCCTTGGCCCTTGCCAACGTGGCGTCCTTTGTCCTCACTCCCTCCCCTCGGTGTACCCCGCGAAACCTGTCTTGAACACGGAGCCAGGAAGGCTCCACTTTCTCCGGGTTTCTGCGACTTACTGAGCTGAGGTGGCACACGGCAAGGGGAAAACACAGAAAAGTCCTCCCTGGGGCTGGAAATGAGGGGAAATTCCGCGCAAGGCCATTTATGACGCCGCCTTTGGTTCGGGAAGGAACCCCGGATAGATTTGGCTGGCTGCAGAATTCTGAGGCAAATTCATTGTAATGGGGTTCCCCGTGGCTGCATAATAGCCGTTTGGATTGTGCAAAGGTGAAATTCGCACACCTCACTCCGGCCAGAAACATTTTCTCCAAGAGACAAAAGCTGTTTCCCCGTAGCGCCGGCGCGACGTCCCAGTGGACCCCACGCAAACGCCTCAGCCGTAGCATCGCCCCTTTAAACGGCTCCAGCCAGGATTGGCTACGCGGGGGAAGTAGGGCGGTGAGCGGTGACGTCACGGCTCCACCCCACAGACTATATAGTAGCGGTGACGGCGCAGCGACGGCGGCCGAGTGCGAGACAGTAACCGCGAGGGAGAGAGAGAACGAGGCGGGAGGCGAGGCGCTTGCGCGATGTCCGGGCCCTGAGCCCGCGGCATTGAGCCAGCCGGGACGGACATGCGCGGCAGGGCGCCGTGGGGCAGCCGCGCTCCGCCGGGGTAAGGATCCTGGCGGGCCGAGAGGGGGCGGGGAGGGCGGCGCCCTGCTGCGCGGGGTCGGAGCCCCCTGCTGTGGGCGCCGTGGGATCCGGGAGCTTCAGGGCAGCCCGCTGGGCGACAGTGGGCCAGCGGGGAGACGGTCGCCGCAAAGCAGAGTCTCACTGGGGACGGATGGACGGATCGAGGAAAGGAGGAAGGGGCTGGCCGGCGCAGGAGGCTCTTCTCCCGGTGCCGGTGCCTGAGGGACGATCTCGGCTCGCCGTGCGGCGGACTGCCCAGCGCCTGCCTGCTCCTTTCTTGTCTACTGTGGTCAACCTGACGGGCTTGCAGAGAAGGAACAGGGTTGGGAGGCAACCTCGGTCTTTTCGCCCGGGAGCCTGCCTCCAGGGGCTGCCAGGGCGGCAGTGGCCAGCTTTGTGTCGTTCCCACTCCTCGTTTTTTTAAAATCAAGTCTGCCTTACTCTATTTCGCACCTTCTGCCCCTAATCCTGCTCCGAAATCTCTGGGGGAAGGCTGCTGGGAGGCTCAGTAATAATCGCTGTGGTTGGTACCAGTTCTATTTCGTAGTCAGCTCGGTAGTCTCTGCTTAGTCCCTCTGCTTCATCTCACGACCACCATGGTAATTCCTCCTAGCCAGTGTTTTTTAATTCATCTGAGTCGTTCCATGCCCTTTTCTTCTAGCTTTGAGAAGCATGATTCATTGTTCTGAACGCCCTAAATACTCGTTCAGAAGGAATGGAACTGCAGAATGATGTATTCAAAATACGAACGTTTATTGGGTACTTCTCATGTATGTATGTATGTGTGTGTGTGTGTGTATATGTATATATATATATATCACAGCTTTGTACAAATTAGATGACTCCTTAACCATGATTGGTGCTGTATTGGTGCTTGCTAAGTCTTTATGAGGATTTCATCATTGCTTGAAAGAAACCAGCCTGTTCCCTGATAAAAATATGAATAGATTGTTAGTCATAAATTTGAGTGCAGTCAGAATAGAGACTGTAGCTTTAAAAGAGATGTGTTGGTGACTTGAGGTACACCTGCAGCACAGGTAGGGCAGGACTGGTTTCTAGGCAACTGTCAGGGGTGAAGAAAGGTGAGGTTAAAATGGTTTTTTTTCTCTTTCCCCCCTACTGGAGAACAAGTGTTCTGCTAGGTTTTGAACTTTATAAATCTGCTCTAAGAACACAATGGTTATAAGTTTGTTGAGGACACTGAAACATTTAAGTTCACCATATCTAGTTGGGTTTTTTTTTTTTTTTTTGTCTGTGTAGGTACTTGTACAATTTTAAGGCTAGGTCCTATTACAGTAAATGGCCAAATTTTAATAGGACCAAAATAAAAGAAGCTTGTTAACATGCTGACTATGACTGGTGGTGGTTGTTGTTAGGTGGTGTTGAGTTGGTTCTGACTTAAAGGGACCCAACAGAAGGAAGCACTGCCCACTCCAGGGGCCATCCTCAATATGGTTACTATGTTTCAGCCCATTGTTGTAGCCTCTGTGTCAGTTTCATTGAGGGTCTTCCTCTTTTTCAGCCAACCCTACTGGTTACAAGTGTGTTCGCAACCCAAACTCTTTTTCAGGTATTAACAAATTTGAAGACAAATGTAAGACTTGTGATACAATTTTGTCACTTCCTTCCTCGATACAACAGTTTATGTTTAGCTGTGTGTTCCAGTGAACACTAGCTAATAGGTCTTGGAGTAATAATTTATAACCTAACAAATAAATTAGATTATAAACTCCTTAAGGGCAGGAACTCTGTCTTGTACAGCTTCTGCCATCTGCAGCCTTAAATGTAGTTGATGGTTGATAAATAACTGCACGAAAGCATATTTTACATTTTAAAGCTCTGAGGATTGGACTAGTCATTCATAAAAGTTGGAAAGCAGATCTGTTTAATTGTTTTATGGCTGTTACTAAATATCTAAATTATTCATATTTTTGACAGTTGAAAATACTGCTTTAATGAATTATTTTTCTGCTTTTGATTCATTATAGCTACTGGTCACTCTTTTTGTGAGGTCTAATTAAACTGTAGACTTGAGTTTTTGTGTGAAAAAAAACTCTTAACTGCTGCTTTTCAGAAGTTGAACCACATAATACTTCTTTTCTGCTAATACTAATGGTAGCTTTTGAAAGCAAGTTGCCTAAATTACAGGTACAATCTAGCCTGCTTGAAACTGACCTGATTGCCTGCATACCATCAGGTTGCTTTAGAAAGGTGAGCAGAGGAGGGAAAAGGTGGTGCCAAGGGTAATTCCAGGAATTTGAATGTCAGAGGCTCCCTCTACTAGAGAAACAACTCTGATCTTTAAATAAATTTGAATAAGTACCTCATCATCAGGATTCATTTAGCATCCTTTGGTACTGGTGTTAGGCCATGCTTTATAAAAGCTAATAACTCACTAGATAAACACAGTATAGTTGTGGTATTCTGGCATTATTCACACTGAATAAATGCATTCTTTGTGAAAGTAGATAAAAGGAGTAAGTTTTGGGGTCCTGAATGTAAGTTACTAGCGTCAGAGAAAATTTGTTTTAAGGTAGGGAATAATTTATAGGGGATTCAGATTTCAGAAAGGGGAAAAAAAACTGAAATTTCCAGTCTTTGTTGTCCTTGTAACATAAAATTGGGCAGTATAACTAAAAGACGTTGAGTTAAGTTGGTCTATTCCAGGCTTCAGTATCTTTAAAGGGCACTGTGATGGCATAGTGCCTAAGGCATTTGACTGCTAACCAGAACACTGGCAGTTCAAACCTACTAGCCACTCTTCAGAAGGAAGATAGGGCAATCTACTTCTGTAGAGATTGTTGTTGTTGTTGTTATGTGCTGTCAAGTCGACCTGACTCATAGGGACCCCTCCATGGGTTTCCGAGGCAGTATCACTACAGAAGTAGATTGCCCAACCTTCCTCCCGAGAAGGGGCTGGTGGGTTTGAACTGCCAGCCTTCTGGTTAGCAGTCAAATGCCTTAGGCACTACGCTACCACACCTCAGAAACCCAAGGAGGGATCGCTATGAGTTGGAAACGACTGGACGACATTGAGTTTGGTTTTTTTGGTTTAGTATCTTTAAAATATGTGACTGTGGCCACAAAAATTAGGATCAACTCTAAAGTGCCATGATTCAACAAAACAGTAGTTTAACCGAGGAAACAGAGGAAAGTAAGGATTAGAAGTGATTGTCCAAAAGCTCTTATTAAATATTCAGTTGTTGTTATGTGCTGTCGAGTCGGACCTGACTCATAGTGACCCCTCCTTGGGTTTCCGAGGCAGTATCACTACGGAAGTAGATGCCCCATCTTCCTAGTGAGGGGTGGCGGGTGGGTTATTAAATATCCAGAGCATGTGGAATTAGCAATCTTTCACTAATCAAATTCCACATGCTCTGGATATCTAATCAAATTAAATATCCAGAGCATGTGGAATTTGATTAGTGGAAGATTGCTTTAAAAACAACAAAAAATACTCTCTGCATGGAATGTTCTTCTCCTAACTTCCCATGGCTGCCTCTTTTCACCTTTTAGATTTAAATTGGAAAACTCATCTCCTTAGAGAGGCCTTCTCTAACCACCTATGTAAATAGGTTCTCTACTTCCTTATCCTGTTACTGTACCCTGCTCATTTCCTTGGAAGTTGTCACATTTGAACCTGTTTGTTTGCTTATTTATTGTCTCCCCCCCACCTCCAGTATACTATGTAAGGAGCTCTGGTGGTGCAGTGCCTAAGGCATTTGACTGTTAACTAGAAAGGTTGGCTGTTAAAACCCACCAGCCACTCCACGGAAGGAAGATGGGGCAATCTAGTTCCATAAAGATCTACCACCTCAGAAACCCAGTGGCATTGGCTGAGTCGCAATCGACTCAATGGCAATGAGTTAGGTTTTTTGAGTATACTATCTAGACCAGAGGAGCTCTGGTAGCGCACTGCCTAAGGCACTTGACTGCTAACCAGAAGGCTGGCGGTTCAAACCCAGCAGCCACTCCTCAGAAGGAAGGTTGGGCGATCTACTTCCGTAGAGATACTGCCTCGGAAACCCAAGGAGGGGTCACTATGAGTCAGGGCCGACTCGGCAGCACATAACAACATCTAGACCAGAATGAGGACTTGATAAATATTTGTCGATAAAAAGAAATTACAAGCATTTGTGAGCTACACTCCAAGTTCCTTTCCCTGTCTTTGCAGCTGACTAGCACTTAGGTCTTGAGCATTTCATCTAGCAGTCCTTTGCTTCAGTTTCCCCATTAATAAACAAGAATGTTAGAAGAAGAAATTAGGCTGTTACCTAAAATGAAGATACTTAGAAAGGAAAGGTAGTGACATGTGGGAAAATGCTGGACTATAGGGCAGAGGAGCTGTGAGAGCCTTCTACTCGTGGTGAGGAATGTGTTTGACCTCACTTCATGTCTTCGTCTGCAAAATCCCTGCCTCTCTTTACAGGGATGTTTTGAGGATCAAGTGAGATAATGTGTAAGAAGGTGCTTTGTAATTGGTAAGAGTGCTTTACAAATGTAAGGTATTCTATTATTGAATTCCGGATTTTACAATAGAGCCTGATGTAATGCCATCATTGGGATCCATGCTGGAGGACTCTGTTAAAAGGGGGCCTGTTGGGTATGTGTAGTAACCCTTTTTATGAGGAAAGACAGTCAGTCCTGTGTTATATCTAATGGCATGTGTAATACTATGGTGGGGCTTCAGTGTACCATTAAAGATTGAGGGCTTCAAAACAAATTGTTTGAAGTGGTCATAGAATGTAAAATGAATACCTAAACCTTTCCAGAGAATCCAAAGGCCAAGACTATAATTAATAACTTTTAAAAGAAAATTTGAAGTAAAACAGGATAGGCTAAGTAAGGATTACCAAAAAAAAGAAATCAAACAGTAACCCCACACACACACACCAGGGGAAAAAAAAGTATATCAAGTATATCTGAGCTATCCTTAAAAAGTGAGCGTTATACTCACTCAGATGCTATCCCACCAGTTTA